ACGGGGAGCCGCGCGGGCGGGCGGCCCCTGGCGCTCACCCTCGCGCGCGCACACACACCACGTACACACTGCCCCTTTCTGCACTTTCGCGTAGAAGCCCTGTCCGCACGTGTCCTTTCGTAGCGCCTCAGACCCTCCCGGACGCACGCGAAGTGTCCACCTTCTTCCTCATCTACACGCACACGCCACGTACCAACGACCACTTTTCTGCCCTTGCTCGTGCGCACCCCGTCCCCCTACCGTCTCTCGTTATCCTTCTTCCAGCACAGACCCATGACAAGGTCAATCACCGCATATTCCTGAACGCACGCACTCGCAATCCTGCTCCGAATGCACACACGTCAAGTTCAAGCACAGCATACTCCTGACCGCAAACAAAAGGCACACGCAATTCCGCTTCTACTTACAGACACACGCTACCCCCTAAAACTTCCAGCCCCCGTCGGCCCCACAAGTTTGAACGAGAGGAGAACAGGGACAGCTCAGAGAAGAAATGTGCGTCTTTCGCGGACGTCGCCATGGCCCTGGCTTGTCTGTAGCTCAATCCTCCACTAAAAAATTCAAACCTAGAGACTTCCACTCATCCCAGCAAAGTGGCCTGCTGCACAAGAGGTGGGCAGGAGGCTTATGCTTTTTATTCTGAGAGAAGGGGATTTTTTTTTTTTCCTTGAATGAAGTGAGGAAGGAATCACTTTCTCTGTGATTCTCAAGGAACGGACTCAGCAGAATTTAAAAAAAAAAAAAAAGCAGGAGAAAATAGGCTTGCTCAGAGATTGCAGTGGTGGTTAGCTGGATCCAGCTGGCATGAGGGCAGGGCTGTCTTGTCAGGGACCGAAGGCTCATCTCTGTTCTGAGGTCAGTCTCTCCCCAAAGAGGACCAGTAACCTCTGAGCCTGCCTGGAGCCAGCCCACCCACAGCCTCTGTGAAACTTGGAAATGAAACACCAGGGAAGAGGAGACTCACTTGCTCTGGGTGTGACCTTGGAACTCTGTTTTCCAAGTTCACACAGATTCATACACTCTTTGGTTTTATGACCAAAAGCACAAGATTTTTGTTTTGTTTTGTTTTACTCTTGGGAGGAGGGACAATGGGGATGGCAGTTTGTCACTGTGTCACAGAGGGAGGCTTGCTGGTTCTCATGGGCCCTTGGATAATCGTGTAATATGCTTAAGGTCAATCAAAATCCTGTACATTCAGCTGCCTAGTTAACAAGAATTGGCTCTGCTAGGCATTGTGGTGTAATTTATGGATGAAACAGACGGTGGGGAGTTAAGTGACTTGACAAAGGTCACACAGCAGCAGATTATGGAGCCAGGCATTCAACCCAGGTCTGTGTGTCTGATACAAAATCTCCACGAAACCCTGCCTTGCTGAGCAGAGACTCCTTCTGCTCGGTTGCCTCCTAAAGAACTGAGAGCATCAGCACAGCTTAACTGCCCTGATTCACCACGTGTTCCTTCTCTGAACTTGTTAATTACTATTATCAATTACTGTGGGTTTTTTTCCAGGAGCATCCCCACTGTCTTCCATGAGGGCTGCTTACCCTCTTTTTCTGTCAATAGATATGTATTGAGACCCTACCACGTACTGGGCATTGTGTTCAGTCCAAAAAAAATAGCAAAGATAGACACAATCCCTGTACTCCTGGAGCTCACATTCTAGATAAAATATTGACAAAAATAACACGTAAATCATTCACATAAGTAAATATAAGATCAGGGATCCTCAAACTTTTAAAACAGGGGTCCAGTTCACTGTCCCTCAGACCGTTGGAAGGGCGAACTATAGTTTAAAAAAAAAACTGTGAGCAAATTCCTATGCACACTGCACATATCTTATTTTGAAATGAAAAAACAAAATGGGAATAAATGTCCTCGGCGGGCCGCATGTGGCCCGCGGGCCGTAGTTTGAGGACCCCTGTATAAGATTGTCCTTACAGCAAGCATTACCAATAAGAGACTCAAGATATGAGAAAATTTACTCTACAATGGAGTCACTGGATTCAGTCAGAAAGGTTAGTGAGGCTTCTCAGAAAAAGTGATGCTGTAGGTCAGAACAGAAGTTTGTGAAGAAATTAGGCAAGAAATGAAAGGGCAGAGTCATCCCTACAAATGATCACTTGATCATAATAACAATAACTTTATAGTTGAGGATACTGAGGCGCAGGAGGTAAAAATGACTTACTCAAGATTGCACAACTCAGTAAGCTATAGAATCCAAATTTGAACCCAAGCAGTCTGTCTTGAAAATTAGACTTCAGGTGCTTTATGCTTAGCCAGTAAGCTATGTTAATTGACTTTCAGGTTAGCACAAAGATCTTGTGGCAGGGAAAGGCAGCACATGTTCCTCCATTGGAGGGACTATAAGAAGGCCAGCATAGCTGGTACAACAATGAATTAGAAGTGCTCACCAAGGCAGGGGAAGTAAGAGGGAGAGCATGTAAGCACTATAGACCAAATTAAAGAGTTTTTGTCATCCTGAGAACAGAAAAGAGTCATGTAGAAGGATGATACACTTAGATTTGCATTTTTTAAAGATGACTATGGCTACAGTGTGGAGAACAGATTGAGGGACAGAGAAGTAGTTGGACCAATTAAGAGACCCTCAAGGAAGTTTAGATAATAGGTGCTGGTAGCTTACCTGGATGGTAAATATGGAGAGACATGGGAGGATTTGAGATATTTCAATCGTGAGTATCACCAACTAGGTTGGTAATGGTAATGGATGCTCTGGCTAACATAACTGGAGAGAAATCAATGTCATTAACTGAACACTAGAAGAGAATCACATTGGAGGAAAGATCATGAAGGTGTGTTGCACATGAGGTGCCCTTAAGACTTCCAAGAAGAGATGTCAAGTCTGCAATCAAATATATGGGCCTGGAGTTCAGCAAAGAAAACTTAGCTAGGGAGCTAGGTGCAGTGGCTCACCTCTGTAATCCCAGCATCTTGGTGCTTCAAGGCAAGAAGATTGCAGGAGTTTGAGAACTGGGCGACAGAGGTAGACCCCACCTCTACAGAGAATTTTTTAAAGTTAGCCAGGCATGGTAGTGTATGCCTATAGTCCTAGTAATTGGGAGACAGAGCTGGGAGAATCGCTTGAGCCCAGTGGTTTAAGGTTACAGTGAGTGATTTGTGCCACTGCATTCCAGCCAGGGTGATGGCAGCGAGACCCTGTCTCAATTTTTTTTAAATTAAGAATAATAATAACTTTTTTAAAATTCTTGGTTAGAGATAAAAATGTGTTATTTGTTTGTTTGTTTATAGGCAATACTTCTAGCCATATACATGCGTAAATCTCTGGGAAAGAGAAGAGAGTGAGAAGAAAAGAGCCAAGGAAAAGGCTTTTAAAAATTCTGTAGTCAAGTACAGGACAGTGTAATGTGAAAGGAGAAGCAGCCATGAGAGAAGAATGAAAAAGCAGAGCAAATAAAATTGTGTCATGTAAGCCCAGGAAAAAGACTATTACAGAAATACAACTGTGATCAACGTTGTACGATACGAGAAGTCAATCTTTTATTTTTGGAGGTCACTGGAGCCTTTGCAAAAAGCCACAATAGAGTGGTTGAGGTATAAATATAGTTATTGACATGAGAATTAAAAACAGCTCTTTGGAAAAGGTTTGACTGAAAAAAGGGAAGGAGGAAAAATAGCCAAAGAATAATGTTGGAGAGAGGGAGGGCTGTTTGTTGCATATTGGTTGTTTTGGCTAGTTGGGAGGTTAGATGATTAATTTATGGTTTTTGAGGTTTGAGCATGTTTTAAAATGATCAGAAAATACATTTATTTGACAAAAATTGACTGTATAAAAAAAGAAGAGGGATTGACATTATAAGGCTTTGAGAGCATGAAAAGAATAGATTCCGAGATACACGCAAAGGAGAAATAGCTTATCAGAAGGTGCATGAGATAGGTACAAATGTAGGTCGGTTTGTCGGTTTCATTTTTAGTACACAATGGAATTCCCATCTGATGACTTTTATTTTCCCAGAAGAGTAAAATCAAGATTATTTACTGAGAGTATGGGGGAAGGAACATAGTTACAGGTTTGAGGAAAGTCAAGAGGTTTGGTTTGGTTTTGGTTTCTGAGAGGTTTTAAAATACCCTTTAGAGTCTGTAAAAGGATGAATTTGACACCGTTGAGCGACCAACTGGTATTGATAATTATAAATCTAAAATGAGATCAGCCCCCCTCCTTTACATCTTAGAGATATAAGGGGAAGGCTACACAACTGACTGGGCTGTGGCATGCCAGCTAGCAGCCACCTGCTCAGAAACCTACCTGGCCAGGCTCTGGAGCTGGGGTAGGCTGGACCCACGTCCTGGGTTGTGTGTATTAACCTATTGTACCTGGAGGAGAAACAATGTATATTCTCTTTCCTTTGGAGTTGTCTCTGTTTTTCCACTTTCAAATCAGGACCTATCAGACTCATCAAAGTGTATATATTAAATAAGTGCAATGTTTGTATAATGATTACACCTCAGTAAAACTGTTAACAATCAGTCAAACTGGGATCAGCCCGCTTGG